CACACCACCACACCCCCCTATACTTCACAGACCTGCTGCACCACCACACCCCCCCCTACCTCACAGACCTACACCACCACCACACCCCCCCCCTACCTCACAGACCTACACCACCACCACACCCCCCCTACCTCACAGACCTACACCACCACCACACCCCCCCCCCCTACCTCACAGACCTACACCACCACCACACACCCCCCCCCCCTCCCTCCACCTCACAGACCTACACACCCCACCACACCCCCCCCCCACTACCTAAAGACCTACAACACCCCCCCCCCCCTACTTCACAGACCTGCTGCACCACCACGCCCCTTCCCGTTGCCTCCGCTCATCAGAAGCCAACCTCCTATCCATCCTCACCCGCACCGGACCTGGGGGGACAGAGCCTTCTCCGTCGCTGCCCCCTCCCTCTGGAACTCACTCCCCCAACCCATCAGAGACTGCACTGACCTCACCACCTTCAAAACACTCACAAAAACTCACCTCTTCAATCTGGCTTTTAATGTGTGATTGTTTTTGTATTATTTGACTTTAACTTTAACTATATATTTATTTGTTGTTCCTTCCTTTTCTTTTCCCTTCACTATATCTGTAAAGCGTCTTTGAGCACCTGTAAAAGCGCTAACAAATTAAATCTATTATTATTATTATTATTACTACATACAGTACATGTCACATAGAGCACAGCAGAAACATCCTGTCCGTGCATCCTCACAACATAAATATCATATTCTTTTTTCCATCGGGTTGCAGTCGGGTGACAGAAGTCTTATCTGTTGTGTTGTCTGGCTGTCTGCATTTCAATGTTACACCCCAGTGGGCTCTGTGAAACCAATGCAGACACAGAGAGACCTTTTGAAAGAAGTCTAAATGCCGTTAGAAGAGAGCTGGCTGCCGGGGAGATTATGAAAACTTCACGATGTGATTGCTCAGAGTCTGTATATCGGTGGGAGGTCTCATCGTGTGTTCATCAGGGAGATACAAACACTGGCATACAAACACAGACACATTACAGAAACACAGGAGCGTTGTTATTCACTCACTCTTATGAGTCAAAGCAGGAACAGGTGATTCCCTCGTCTCCTCCGTAAGATACACGGACTCACGCTCTGTTGCTATGGCACCAAGAAAGTGAAAGAAAGCTCTATACATGAAGATACTCAGTCATCGAGGTTATGGGATGTCTAGAGGGCAAGGTATTTGTTCTTCCTCCCAGAAAACATATGAACATTTCTAACAAGTGTGCTCGCTTTTGACTTTGAAAGAAAACTGAAGGCGTACTTCTTCGTGTTCAAATCTATTCACCTTATGTAGCCCCGTCCCCTTTTCCACTTCTGTTTCATATGTGTACGTTTGTCTGGTTTAGCACTAGCTGCAATGTAAACAATACTTTTGATTTGGGATCATTCTCAGATACACTGCGGCGATTGGATGGTTTTAAATCACATATGTTTATTAACCCTGTAGTGTCTGTTAGTGTAGATGGCTCCGTTATGATGAGCTACGAACGTTTATAATAACTCTCACTGCCAGAAGAGGACACAACGGCCAACAAAACAATATAATAAAAACAAGTTAACCTACAGATCAAACTAGTGTGATATCTACTAACTAGCAAATGTTAGCTATCTATCCAATAAGCTGGCTATAGCAAACTCTATATATCGATCCATCTTGCAAATATTATATCTACTTTACAAGCTAACTAACTAACTAACGAGTAATTATAAAATCATGGTGACGTGTTTTATTTAAGCCAAACGAGCCGCTTTCATACAGCAGCAGCTCAAAACATCGCCCTAATTTCTGAAATGTACATGTAACCCTAACCCTATAATTAACTTTCATTTTAAGTATTCAACCTAATATGGAGATCTCAACACCCTTTAGTGGGGTATTTACAGACGTCGAATTAAAATCTGTTCAGCTTGTGTTAACCATAGAACCATATGAGGCTTACAACCAAAACACATTCAGAGAACCATTGACTTCCAGACAGGAAGTGGTGAAAGTCTTGTCCGGGGTTTTAGGACTCATTCTTGCACCTCTCTATTGCCAGACACTCCTATAGACAGCAGGGTTCGTACGGGTGCTGGAAATCCTTGAAAATGCTTGAAACTTAAATAAAAACATCTATTTTGATTCTGACTTTTCTACATCCAACTCATCCAATAAACCGTCACGGTAGCCTTACCTTACTGATCCCTCTTCAAATAGAAAAACACACGTGACTTTACCAGCAGAGAGAAGATGGATTATTACATTATTAATGTGACTAATAAAGAGCACTTTGATTATTAAGTATTATTCTGTTGGTGTCATTACATTTGGTGAAAAGCTCATAATGACTTGTTTAAGACTAAAAGTTTAGGACTTGAACTTGGACTTGAACTTGCCCATCCTGACTTGAGACTTGACTCAGACTTAAGTGCAAGACTTGAGACTTACTTGTGACACACATCTTGTAAATGAGTTAAATGTAGCTTTGTGTTTTTATTTAAGTCGCTGTTCATAGTTTTTGATATGAAGCAGATGTAATGATATCCTATGGGCGCTGATGTGTGGATGTTGTCGTCTTTTGATAACTTTGTTGAGCTTGTTTTTAGCTGCATGTCTTTTATTTTATCTCACTGAACAAAGTCCCTGTATGTAAACTGCTTCAGCTGAGGAGGCTGGTTATGAAACAAAGGGAGGAGCTGCACACAGGTGAGGGAAGGTGAAAGTATGAAGTCAGACTTGTCAGACTGCCAGACGCCATTTTACAGCTCGGAGCAGGAGGAGAACAGGGTGAGTGTGAACACCAGGATCTGCTTTCTAACACATTCATTATTTACTCTGTTTTACTGGATGTCAGAAAATAATACTTCTTGGTTAAAAATCAGCGTCCTAGAGTCCATTGAGACTTCTGCAAGTGTTGTAAACTTTGATTATTTCCTGTTTTCTGATTCATCAGAGTTACATAACATGTGACAGCCCAGCGCAGTCAAAATGGAGAATGGCCTGCAGTCTGACTGATTTCATGTATTTTAACCAAGTTTATTATTAAGGTGTGTGTGTGTGTGTGTGTGTGTGTGTGTGTGTGTGTGTGTGTGTGTGTGTGTGTGTGTGTGTGTGTGTGTGTGTGTGTGTGTGTGTGTGTGTGTGTGTGTGTGTGTGTGAGTGATCACTCACTCAGACTGGAGAAGATGAGTGATTTAAAAGATGACGAAGAGGACAAATCTCCAGTCCCCAGCTGTCTGTCTCTGAAGAGTGACGGGTCTATGGGGTACCCTATAAACTTCAGTGATGAACCTGGACCCTCAGACACAAAGTAAGAGTTTCTACTGTAAACTGACCTGAAGAGGATTCTGTATGTAGTGTCTCTACCATAGCCGTGGGAACATGTTTCAAATGCGGGTGCTGTGGGGATGACACCAGGGCCGGTTCTGACCAGTTTGCTGCCCTAGGCAAGATTTGAGCTGGCAATGAAAAACCTCTACAAAAGACCAACACACTACAAACAGAGAAACCTGTTGACACGGTGGACAGCTGATATAAAAAGGCTTCAAATGTATTCAGTATTGTATGAACATGTTTTAATTGGGGGGTGGACCTCACATCCTTTAGGGGGGTCCGGGGGTATGCCCCCCCCCCGGGAAGATTTTAAAAAACATTTCAAAGTAAAATGCTTCAATCTGGTGCACTTTGAGCGCCCAATCACTAGATACCTGATCTAGGGGGTACAACTTTAAACACCCATATGAAAAAGATCGGTTTGCATTTAATATTAATAATCAAATAAGTATGTGAACATAACCAATAACCTACCATAGCCAATAACAAATACATGTAACTTATTTTATTTTTGTGGTTCATTTACATCTTATTTTACCAGTTAACATTTATTTATGCATATTTTTTAATCTCTCCAGTTTTAAACGATATGTCTGGTTTACTGTCCTATAGTATACACTGGAATGATTTCAAACCTGTTTTTATTCATCCCAATAATTATAAAGGAGTGCCTTGGAAATATTTGTTTACATAAATTGTGATCAAACCGTTTGAGAGCCACTGAGATAACTTAGACTAAAGTGAACTATCTAACACTCTGAGAGTCCTTTACCTCACTGAGCCTCAGTCTGACAGGAGAGCTCTCCCTCCACATTATTGTAGAAACAGCTTCTTATCCGTTAGCGCAGCAGAAGCTAACAACAATCCCCGCCGGTACCGGTGCGCCCTCTCTCTCGCACTTTGGCTGTGAGCTGCGGACGCCTGATAAGCCAACATCCCCCACATTATTTAAGTGTGGGGGGGGGGATAACCTCCTCTAGGGGGGTCCTCACCTCCTCTAGGGGGGGACCTAACCTCTTCTACGGGGGTCCTCCTCACCTCCTCTAGGGGGGTCCGGGGGCATGCTCCCCCGGGAAGATGTTTTTTTAAATGTTGAAGTTAAAAGCATCAATCTGGTGCACTTTGAGAGCAACATTAGGAGATCTATGGAAACATCTCTCAACACGATATGAAACAGAACTGGAAGCAGATTTTCCTTTCCTCTATGGATGTTTTACAAATCACTCCCCTTTCAAACTGTACTCTTGTTTATTAATAACAACTTTTTTTTACTGTCATACAGTATTTTATACCTGTTTACTTTATTCTCTTATTTTTTTATAATAACTATAATGATCATATAAAGATGTGCCTTTACCTCACTGTTGGAGAAAACGCTTCTCATATTCGTTAGCATAGTTGGTAACCAGATGCTAATAACAACAAAGCTATTGACTGTATGATCAGTGTGACAGATGAACAGATCGCCACTGGGCTTTCAACTAAGACACAGCCACGCACAAACTACGGCATGTGTACAGCTCCTTATGAGTAGCCTACTGCAATTTCTAGAAGTACCGAGTGGCGTTCCGGTGCTCTCCTTCAGCACGTGTCAGACGAGACATATACCACGTGATGACACGTTAGGCTCGTGTTGTGTTCAAAGACCCTGACCAAGCTTGGCCAGGAAAAACAGGCACTCGTTTGTTTAATTTTTTTGTGGTCTAGATTTCTTAAATTTCTTTCTTTTTTGCGTGTGTTTATAAATGACCTCGCGGGCCGTATACGGCCCGGGGGCCGGAGGTTCCCCACCCCTGATCTAAACTGTTTAATGAAACCCAGTAGAGTACATTAACAAAATGTAATTGAACTCTTGCTTCTTGTCAGCAATAGTAAATAATCTACTAGTGAAATCATCCTCACTCTACATGTTGGACTTGAATGAATTTTAAAAACAGAAACCCAAAATCACGACTCAAAAACTCTACAAATCTTTAATCAGGTGAACAGTCATAGATCAAAAGCTGCTCTTTAGATGAACTAATGATGTTTAAAACATGTTGTTTCCACAGACAGCGAGCAGAGTCTCCAGTCCCCAGCTGTCTGTCTCTGAAGAGTGACGGGTCTATGTGGAAACCTCCAGACTTCAGTAATGAACCTGGACCCTCAGACACAAAGTAAGAGTTTCTCCTGTAACCTGACCTGAAGAGGATTCTGTTTTGATGTAATCTAATATATTAAACTGTTCTTTAATGAAATCATGTGAGCAGTTTGTAAAGGGAAAACGCAGCAGAGTACAGCAAGCTAACTGTGAGCCTCTCCGCTCACACAGGGTTCAAAGAGGGACGAAAAGAGCAGGGTTTGTGTTGAACACAGGCGTTTATTAGCACCAAAACAAAGTGTACAACACGGGTTGCAAAACGTTGCCCGTGTGGGATCCTTCGGCAACCTCCCTGGATCCTGCCTACTGCAAGACAGACCAGAACCAGGTTACCACATGCTTTTATTCAGTGACTGATTACCTGATTCCGATCAGCTGTCACTCCCTTCACACCAGCAGCCGGTGTCCTAACCACACCCCACTGCCACACTAACATTATTTGAGGATATTTCAATATACAATTATATTATCATTGTATCTGTGTATAAAATGGTTTTAAATAGCAAGAATGTTGATAAATTATGATTTAAAAAAAGAAAGATATCATCCAAAACATTATTGAACTACTTGGGCATGTTTATGATGTGTCTTTTTAAGATGTTATTAATAATAGTGATAACCTGGTGAGCTGGTTGTGTTTAGCATTAGCAGATACAACAGAGTTTTGTGATATCACATGTAGAGTCAATGCAAAGACCCAGATCCGTGCCTGGCAACAGGAAGGAAGTGAAGATGTTAAATTCATATCACCTGCGTATTCGTGCAGCGTTACACATTTCATCTTGAGCTTAAAGTTAGTGACGCTTGTTAACTGTGTTGGTTATTCTCGCGTCCAGGAAAGAGAAGCTTAAAAAGGAGACTAAATGGAGTCTCTGAGATTGTTTCAAAATTGGTACTTTAATTAATAAAAAGCGTGGTAAAGTCACAAACAGGATATTGTTCAGTCAGGAGAGAAAGACTGCAGCTTCCTCTCCCAGGTGCTGGCCGTGCAGAAGAGAGCTTACAAGCATTCGTCCTTCCCGCTTGCTGGCTGTTCGCTCCTCCTCTCTGGGAGCTGTGGTGACGTAGGAGACTTCCCCCTCGTTCGTGTCCGATATCGCGTTAAACAAAGGATTTTGACATTTTACATTCATTGCTTACTTCCACATGCCTTTTCTCCTCCTTATCTATTTCATAACTTTATATGTAATACATGTTAACGGCGTCAATAGCCACTTTAATGATACTAATGGGCGGTAGTCCCGGATGTCGTCATGAATGATTTTCAGAATAAAAGCTTAACAACTGGTTGTGCACAGGAACTTCTGGTTCTTCAGTATAAAACAGCATTTAAACTGACGGTATGTTTAAGGTACATTATGCTATCAAAACATTGATTTTAATTTCTAACACGCTCTGTTACAGAAACCTGTCAGAGTTGAGATTGTGCTCCTGTGGTCTCTGACGGTCTGAGGGGGATCAGAGAGGAGAGCAGAGCTCCACAGCAGCTCATATTCAATCAGGGTTATTAATGTTCCTGTTTAAACCAGAGACTGTCTGTGGCGCTAACAATAAGACACTGCTGTATTTATGACTTCATGAAGTCACTCTGAGTGAGGATGGAGCAGCTAATGTTAGCCTAGCTTTAATCAAACTGATCTCGTTGTGTTGGAGACAGACCTGACAAAGCTTTATCTCAGGCTTTTCACACTTCAGTATCATTCTGTTGTTATTTAGGCTTCCTTTCCAGATGTTTATTGCTATTAATTCACAGCAGATTCTATGTTGGGTTTATAAAGCACCAGGTGAATACAGCTGAGTGTAGATGCAGGGAACATGTGCTCCTCTGGGTCATGAATCCAGACAGGAGGCTCTCTGGTGGTATGATCATGTGAATTGTAAGCTATCTACCTGATCACAAGCGTATGTTATATTGACCTTTTTTTAAATATCAAACTAGAATGTTCCCCCTTGTTGTACCTTTGGTGAGAATCAGCTCCCCTAAAGTAAAGTGCTATAAAGGATGTGTTCCTCTCCACAGAGGGAAGAGGAAGAGTGGTGTTCCTGTGGAGGAGACGCTGTCCAGCTGTGCTCTGTGTCAGGACGTCCTGAAGGATCCAGTCTCTACCAGCTGTGGACACTGGTTCTGCAGACAGTGCATCAGCTCATACTGGGAGCAGAGACCTCCATCAGGAGACCCCTCCTGTCCCCAGTGTGGAAAAAGATCCAGAACCAGAGCTGGCCTGCAGACAGCCAGTCAGACCAGCTCTGTACGAGGTAAGAGGCCGAACTCATGCAGCGTCTTATTCCTCTTCCTGGTTCATTTGTTTTTTTTATTAGGTATTCTGTTGAAGAGCAAAGACATTAAAATGTTTATAAAACATTTAAACTTTTTATTGAATTACTTTTATTGTTAGATTCTCAAAAGCATGTTCCTGATTCTCTCCTGTTTGCTTCTCTTCCAGCAGAACATGGTCTGCAGGAGGTTCTAGATGAACATAGGCTCAGTCTGAGGAGGAGATGTGAACGTGTGGCTGAAGGAACTGATCAAAGTGAAACCCTCCTCAACAGCATCTTCACTGAGCTCTACATCACACAAGGCCAGAGTGAAGAGGTTAATACCCAACATGAGGTGAGGCAGCTGGAGACAGCTTCCAAGAAGAAGCCCCTCCATGACACTCCAATCAAGTGCCAGGACATCTTTAAAGCCTTACCTGACCAGCAGACTCTCATCAGAGCGGTCCTGACCAACGGAGTCGCTGGAGTTGGAAAAACCTTCTCAGTGCAGAAGTTCACTCTGGACTGGGCCGAGGGTTTGGGGAACCAAGATGTCAGTCTGGTGATCCCGCTCTCCTTCAGGGAGCTGAACCTGATCAAAGGTGAGCAGTACAGTCTTCTCAGGCTGTTCCATGTTTTCCATCCAACCTTACAGAAGGTCACAGCAGAGCAGCTGGCTGTCTGCAAAGTGCTGCTCATCTTTGACGGCCTGGATGAAAGCAGACTTTCTCTGGACTTCAGAAACAATGAGGTTGTGTCTGATGTCTCACAGCAGTCCTCAGTCAACGTGCTGCTGACAAACCTCATCAGGGGGAAGCTGCTTCCCTCGGCTCTCGTCTGGATAACTTCCAGACCTGCAGCGGCCAATCAGATCCCTCCTGAGTGTGTGGACAGGGTGACAGAAGTACGAGGCTTCACTGACGCCCAGAAGGAGGAGTACTTCAGGAGGAGATCGAGTGATGAAGACAGAATCATCTCTCACATCAAGAGCTCCAGGAGCCTCCACATCATGTGTCTGATCCCAGTCTTCTGCTGGATCACTGCTGCAGTTTTGGACCACATGTTGACTACAGACCAGAGAGGAGAGCTGCCCCAGACCCTCACTGACATGTACTCACACTTCCTGCTGGTCCAGACCAAGAGGAGGAAGCAGAAGTATGAAGAGGGACATGAGACGAGTCCACAGCAGCTGACGGAGGCTGACAGGGAGCTTCTTCTGAAGCTGGGGAGGCTGGCGTTTGAACATCTGGAGAAAGGACACATCATGTTCTACCAAGAAGACCTGCAGCGCTGTGGTCTTGGTGTCACCGAGGCCTTGGTGCACTCAGGAGTTTGCACAGAGATCTTCAAAAGAGAGAGTGTGATCTTCCAGAAAACAGTCTACTGCTTTGTTCATCTGAGCATTCAGGAGTTCCTGGCTGCAGTCTACATGTTCCACTGTTACACCAACAGGAACAAAAAGGTACTGAAGGACTTCCTGAAGAAAGACTGGCCCTATAAGAACAGTAACAGCAGAGATCAGGAGTACCCATCCCTGGATGTCTTTCTAAAAGGAGCCATGGCGAAATCCCTCAGAAGTAGAAATGGCCACCTGGACCTGTTTGTCCGCTTCCTCCACGGCCTCTCTCTGGAGTCCAACCAGAGACTCTTAGGAGGCCTGCTGGGTCGCACAGACAACCGTCCAGAAACCATCCAGAGAGCCATCAGCAACCTGAGGGAGAAGAGAACAAAAATCTCTCCTGAAAGGAGCATCAACATCTTCCACTGTCTGACAGAGATGAAGGACCTCTCAGTACATCAGGAGATCACAGAGTTCCTGAAGTCAGAGAACAGATCAAAGGAACTCTCTGTGATCCACTGCTCTGCTCTGGCCTACATGCTGCAGATGTCAGAGGAGGTTCTGGATGAGTTGGACCTGAGTCAGTACAACACATCAAAGGAGGGGAAACAGAGACTGATTCCAGCTGTGAGGAACTGCAGGAAGGCCAAGTAAGTCCAGATGTGATTAACTTTATAAACTAATGCAGATCAGGAGTTTAATTATTCAAATAAACACGATAACATTTCTGCTGTTTAAATACTGAGAGGCGACATGTCAAACACATGAAGGACTTTAGAGGTTCCTCAGCATGTGATCACACCAGACAGCAGGACTTACAGTTATCAGTTATTATCACTTTCTAGTTTCTTTATCATTAAACACACGATCTATCACAATGTATTAGAGTTTAAAATAAGATCTATATAATCTCCCACCAATACCAGAGTTATGTCTTAATGCTCATATAGTGAGAAAATATTGAAACTTTATTGGTTTGTTAACTGTGTTTGTGTGCGCAGTACATTTCCAGATGCTCAAAGAAGCCAAAACATCCATCATTCACATCTAAATACACTGAACAAAAATATAAATGCAACACTTTTGTTTTTGCTCCCATTTTTCATGAGATGAAAAAATCTGTGATAGTGAGCACTTCTCCTTTGCCGAGATAATCCCTCCCACCTCACAGGTGTGGCATATCAAGATGCTGATTAGACAGCATGATTATTGCACAGGTGTGCCTTAGGCTGGCCACAATAAAAGGCCACTCTGAAATGTTCAGTTTTATCACACAGCACAATGCCACAGATGTCGCAAGTTTTGAGGGAGCATGCAATTGGCATGCTGACAGCAGGAATGTCCACCAGAGCTGTTGCCCGTGAATTGAATGTTCATTTCTCTACCATAAGCCACCTCCAAAGGCGTTTCAGAGAATTTGGCAGTACATCCAACCAGCCTCACAACCGCAGACCACGTGTAACCACACCAGCCCAGGACCTCCACATCCAGCATGTTCACCTCCAAGATCGTCTGAGACCAGCCACTCGGACAGCTGCTGCAACAATCGGTTTGCATAACCAAAGAATTTCTGCACAAGCTGTCAGAAACCGTCTCAGGGAAGCTCATCTGCATGCTCGTCGTCCTAATCGGGGTCTCGACCTGACTCCGGTTCGTCGTCGTAACCGACTTGAGTGGGCAAATGCTCACATTCGATGGCGTCTGGCACGTTGGAGAAGTGTTCTCTTCAGGGATGAATCCCGGTTTTCACTGTTCAGGGCAGATGGCAGACAGCGTGTGTGGCATCGTGTGGGTGAGCGGTTTTCTGATGTCAATGTTGTGAATCGAGTGGCCCGTGGTGGTGGGGTTATGGTATGAGCAGGCGTATGTTATGGACGACGAACACAGGTGCATTTTATTGATGGCATTGTGAATGCACAGAGATACCGTGACGAGATCCTGAGGCCCATTGTTGTGCCATTCATCCACGACCATCACCTCATGTTGCAGCATGATAATGCACGGCCCCATGTTGCAAGGATCTGTACACAATTCCTGGAGGCTGAAAACATCCCAGTTCTTGCATGGCCAGCATACTCACCGGACATGTCACCCATTGAGCATGTTTGAGATGCTCTGTATCGGCGTATACGACAGCGTGTTCCAGTTCCTGCCAATATCCAGCAACTTGGCACAGCCATTGAAGAGGAGTGGACCAACATTCCACAGGCCACAATCAACAACCTGATCAACTCTATGCGAAGGAGATGTGTTGCACTGCGTGAGGCAAATGGTGGTCACACCCGATACTGACTGGTTTTCGGACCCCCCCAGACCCCCCCAATAAAGCAAAACTGCACGTTTCAGAGTGGCCTTTTATTGTGGCCAGCCTAAGGCACACCTGTGCAATAATCATGCTGTCTAATCAGCATCTTGATATGCCTCACCTGTGAGGTGGGATGGATTATCTCGGCAAAGGAGAAGTGCTCACTATCACAGATTTTTTCAGATTTGTGAACAATATTTGAGAGAAATGGTTATTTTGTGTAAATAGAAAATGTTTTAGATCTTTGAGTTCATCTCATGAAAAATGGGAGCAAAAACAAAAGTGTTGCGTTTATATTTTTGTTCAGTGTATGAATTAACATTTAAATATTTACATCTCTAATATTGTCAAGTGATTTATTTAATTTCTGTTTCTTTAGTAACAGTCAGTGACAGACATGTGATCAGATCACACTGACAACACATTACACTCTATTATTATATATTATATAAAATGGACTAACAGCAAATCTCAATCAGAACATTTCAAATATGTTTTCATCAAATGCTTGAGGTTAATATGTTTCCTCTTTTTAACACATGTTCTAATATATGTGTTATTATAGACTCACTGGCTGTAAACTCAGAGAGGCTCTCTGTGAAGTCGTGGCCTCAGCTCTGAAGTCTGACCCCTCCCACCTGAGAGATCTGGACCTGAGTGAGAACGCTCTGAAGGATCCAGGAGTGGAGCTGCTGAGTTCTGGACTGAAGAGTCCAAACTGCAGACTGGAGGCTCTCAGGTCAGTTCACTGACTGAACTTCATCTGCTTGTGTTTATGATTTTCTGAATTTGAACAAATACATTTAAACTATTTGTTCCTCTTTGCTAATGACTGCATATTGATCAGAGTAACAGAGAGAAGGTGAATGTGTGAGGGAGAGAGTCTGAGCTTCCACAGACTCACCCTGAGCTCCAGGAGTCAGTGGAGATGCTGTCAGTGCTGAGGAGCTGTGAGGGAGAGGAAGGAGTTGATGAACATCTGATCAAAGTTAGAGTTCCAGATCATCAGTGGATTGTTTCTGCATCAGCTCTGACATTAAAACCCTGTTTGACTCTGATCAGATTATTAAACCTGGAGTTATTTCAAACAGGAACTTTGTTTTCTAAACTTACATCATGTTTTCTTTATTCAGTCTGAGAGGCTGCAGGTTGTCAAAGATCAGCTGGTCTGCTCTGATCTCAGCTCTGAAGTCCAACCTCCATCTGAGAGATCTGGACCTGAGTGAGAACGATCTGCTGGATTCAGGAGGGAAGCTGCTGAGAGATCTTCTGGAGGGTCCAGACTGCAGACTGCAGACCCTCAGGTCAGTTCACTGACTCTCTGTTCCTGCTGGAGATCTCAGGTTTCATCAGATATTCATCCTGATTCTTCTACGTCATTAACTAACATCCATTCAGTTGGAAATGCTGTTTTATTCATACTTTCATTTGTAGCTACTAAAGTAAGAACTGCAGACTGAAATGTCGTCTGACTCTTGAAGGAACTGTAATAGATGTTAGTTGTAAAAAGTAAATCTATGTTTTTAATATTTAGTAAACGATAGCGTCTGAATAAAGTTCATCTGAAGTGATATTAGTTTGACTTTAACAAAGTTTACTTTCTGAAGAAGACATGTTTTTGTTCCCATTCATTTAAATGTTGAGAAACATCTGATTTATAAACTGATTTTATCCTCATCATGTTTTCTTTATTCAGACTGAGTGGTTGCAGTTTGTCAAAGATCAGCTGTTCTGCTCTGGCCTCAGCTCTGAAGTCCAACCTCCATCTGAGAGATCTGGACCTGAGTAACAACGCTCTGAAGGATTCAGGAGTGGAGCTGCTGAGAGATCTTCTGGAGGGTCCAGACTGCAGACTGCAGACTCTCAGGTCAGTTCACTGACTCTCTGTTCCTGCTGGAGATCTCAGGTTTCATCAGATATTCATCCTGATTCTTCTACGTCATTAACTAACATCCATTCAGTTGGAAATGCTGTTTTGTTCAAATGTGTATTTCTCTAAATGTAGTCTGCAGTCATAACAGTTGATTGTTTCCTAAAGAATCTATTATTCTTCCTGTTAGTTGTTAAAGTAAACGTATGTTTTCTTTAGTAACTGGTCTGAATAAAGACGCTCCTCTGAACTAATATGAGTTTTACATAAAGTTTACTTTCTGACATAGAAATGTTTATGTTCCCAATCATTTGGATGTGAACAGAAGGCTGATATAAAGATGATCCGGTCTCTGATATTCAGGGAGAAGTTCATTGATTAGGACGCAGTAATGATGAGCTGCACATTTCAGACCTGAACATCTCATTGGATTAAAGACTGATTTTTTCCTCATCATGTTTTCTTTATTCAGACTGAGTGGCTGCAGTTTGTCAGAGATCAGCTGTTCTGCTCTGATCTCAGCTCTGAAGTCCAACCTCCATCTGAGAGATCTGGACCTGAGTGGGAACAGAGAGATGAAGGATTCAGGAGTGGAGCTGCTGAGAGATCTTCTGGAGAGTCCAGACTGCAGACTGCAGACTCTCAGGTCAGTTTACTGACTCTCTGTTCCTGCTGGAGATCTCAGGTTTCATCAGATATTCATCCTGATTCTTCTACGTCATTAACTAACATCCATTCAGTTGAAAATGTTGTTTTATTCATACTTTCATTTGTAGCTACTAAAGTAAGAACTGCAGACTGAAATGTTGTCTGACTCTTGAAGGAACTGTAATAGATGTTAGTTGTAAAAAGTAAATCTATGTTTTTAATATTCAGTAAACGATAGCGTCTGAATAAAGTTCATCTGAAGTGATATTAGTTTGACTTTAATAAAGTTTACTTTCTGAAGAAGACATGTTTTTGTTCCCATTCATTTAAATGTTGAGTAACATCTGATTATAAACTGAGTTTTATCCTCATCATGTTTTCTGTATTCAGACTGAGGGGCTGCAGGTTGTCAGAGATCAGCTATTCTGCTCTGGCCTCAGCTCTGAAGTCGAACATCCATCTGAGAGATCTGGACCTGAGATACAACTATCTGCAGGATTCAGATGTGAAGCTGCTGAGAGATCTTTTGGAGAGTCCAGACTGCAGACTGGAGACCCTCAGGTCAGTGAGGGGTCTCTGCTGGTTCAGCAGCATTGTATGAAACTCAGGGAGGTGTTTCTCTCACTGGGGAAACAGATCAGTGATGTTACCCACTGACTGCAGGCTCTTCCATTCTTCCATCAGCTATAGAAGAACAGCTGAACCTGCAAAGCCACACTTTAGTATCAACTCTCTAACAGACATATGGGGGTTTACAGAAGAGTGGGAAAGGTGGTCTGTTCTTATGGGATGTTTTTAGTTCCTTGACCAATGACTGGTTACTTCCTGTCAGCTGAGAGCTGTGGCAGGCAGTCGTAGTGTTTGCAGAGAAGATATGATGGAATGTAGAGCATGAGATCAGGACTCTGAAACTGACTCAAAGAACCAACACTTATTTAAACTGGATCTCAAACTGTTGGATTGTGTTCATCTCTACAGGATCAGATATGATGAAGAGCCGTTCAGAGCCACGATCCAGAAGACCTGTGAGTACTGAAACCATGTCCTCCATTCATCCAGATACTAAACTCTTTCATGGAGCATGAGCTCAGAGGAAAACAACACTCTTGTTTCTCTCTTCATCATTCTGGCTGTTTCTCTTATCATCATTATCACTCTCTCTCTCTCTCTCCTCTCAGGTGACAGGAAGTGAAGACACACAGAAAGGTGAGAGGTCGTACCGTGTGAACTTTATTTATTGAGGTTTCACCATGGCTCAGGGATTCCAGACAAAGCCATGAAACCTAAAACGTGTAATTAAAATGTGTTACATACATATTACATTATATTACATGCAGAGCCTCTCTGTTCAATTAAAACCAAGGAAATAAACATTTTCAAGGTTAGGTGTTTACAAATGCATGCTGTTTAATAACCAAACAACAATTACAACAAAAAGCGAGTCAGAAATGTTTGTAAATACATTAAAACACACAAAAGAATTGGATAAAAAAAATAAGAAACACAGGAGAGCTCCGACATAAAGACGGTACGACTCAGTTCCTAAAGTCTGACTCCATTATTACTTTGTTTGGTGACGTTTCATTATTCTAGATCTTACTGATTATAATTATCCATGTTTCTTTTAATTAAGTCCTATGAATAATATATTGTCCCTTTCATCCAGATCTCAGGTTCCAGCATCACGTGATCTTTGGTGCAGATACTTGAATTTGGAGTTTTCATGATGTGTCTAATGTCAAAGTAGCGCGCCGTTACTGAATAAGGCATACAGTACATTACATTACATGTCATTTGTTATACGCTTTTATCCAAAGCCACTTACATACATTCAGTACTGTGGACAATCCCCACAGGAGCACTTTGGGGTGAAGTGTCTCAGGGACACAACGACATGCTGACTGCAGTGGGACTCGGACTTGGTACCCTCTGATTCCAAGTCCAGCACTCTATCTACTGCCTATAAATCAAAGTGCAACAAAAAATATTGATTTGCTTCTAAATAAGGAAATAAACCCAGTGTTTATCACAGAAATCCCACAAATAAATCAATGTATGGGAAACACTGGTGGCTGAACACGCCTTGAAATGGGAAATAATTAGCTCTAACGAAGAGTGGGATTAAAGGAACAATACATATGCCATTTAGTGTTTTGGGTGGTTTTTGGTTGTCAACCTATTTTTGTTTGTGAAATGTTGAAGTGATCCTACTGACTGTCTCTTTATTTCAGTTTTTGTCTGTGATGGGAATGTCATCTCCTATATGTTATTGTTATGTCCATGTTTGTGTCTTTAGCCTGTACAAAATAAAATCTAACATTTAAAAAAATGTTGGCGGCCCACTTGCAATGCCTTCACGGACCACTAGGGGGCCCACAGGTTGGGAACCGCTGCTCTAGAGTTTATGGTTCATAGCAACACACTCACTCCATAATCGTCCAGGAGCTACGTTTGGTCAGGGTCCCGTGGCGTGCAGTTGTGACGCTCCTCGGCTCCTTCAGCTTCCGCAAATAGCTTTCAACTGATTTCAATGTATTCCCATCTGAGGCGGGATTTGACGTTTTTTTTCACCATTCATTCCAATGGCTGCCGTCTATGTCACGTGATCTTCAAATTTCTCCCTGCAGAAAAAAAAAAACAGGGCCGAACTTAGTTTTATTCTCGGTGTAAAATGCATATTTTAAAGTTAGTTTGGCCATTAAAATGCGTTTTGATGTAATTTGATGCGAGAAATATGAGTTGTTATTTCAGATTATGTGTGCATTGGATGTGCATGATCTTTAGTTTGCTAGTTATTACGAAGATCACCATGATGATGTTTTATCGTGCTTTTATCGAGTCAATTCTGTCTTTTTCACTAATGTCATGGTTTGGTAATCTGACTTTAAAGAGCAGAAACTCTCTGAGTCAGATCATAAAGTGGTCCAGCAGACTGATTGGTGAGCCACATCTAAACCTGGAGACGCTGTACCTCAGGCAGTTACAGCGGAAATCCAGCTCCATATTAGACGATGACTCCCACCCTCTGCACTCAGAATTCAAGCTTCTTCCTTCGGGCCGGAGGTTACTTGTCCCAAGGAGTAGAACGAAGCAGTATAAAAACAGTTTTATCCCAGCAGCTATTGCACAAATTAACACATCATAGGAGCGTCACACAGATGCCTATTTTTATTTATTTATTTAATTGTGAATTTTGAATGTCCATGTTTGTACTAGTGTTTTCCTTCTTAAAATGTTTTTTAAATATTTGGAGATTTGGTTGAGCAGGGTATACTTGTACTTTTACTAGTCCTTTATTAGAGATGTGTCTGTTATTTGTGTTTGTTTTTAGTGTCAGGATGGAACCCTTGTCTTTTTCTTTTTCTCTGCAAACAGAATCTACCTACGGGTACAAATAAATAACCTGAACCTGATTACTTCAGGAAATTGCGTCCATAGAACGTTTTCATTGTTACCAAGGTGGTTGCTAGGGACGCTGCTATCGATATTATTTCTGTTGTGTAACTGTTTAATGGTGTTATCTTTATTGCTACCCCCTTCCCCGTCAATGTATACACTTTAAAAAAAGATCGTAATTTTACAGGAAATAACTACATTTTTATAGTAATTATCATGTTTTTTTAAATAACTTGCAAAATCCTGTAAAATGACAGATATTAACTATAAATTAACAACCCAAAACATTATTTTAAGTATTTTGACAATAACAACAAATAACGTTTATTTCCTTTTTCTTTACAGTAAATTTACTATATAATATTTACAGTATTTTTGCACTTTCAGAAAATACATGCAGATGTACGTAAAATAAAATGTTTTTATCTGTATTTAAATATGTAACACGTAATATAAAAGTGTATTACTATTATAAGACTTTAAGATTTTCTTTGTAATTTTAAGGTAAATATAAAACGGTAAAAAAAGCGTAAAATAAAAAAACGTAAAATGTAAGTAAATCATTTTTACATAAATCATTTTCTCAATATTCGATTGAATCCACCACAAACACAAAATATCCAATGTTGAAACAAAAGTAAATAAATATGTTTTCATGAAATTCCTAACTTACTATATTGTAAACATCTACAGTTGACAATATCATTAAAAAAAATGTAAATCATAGAAAGTGGAGAAATCTCTGTAGGGAGGACCAAGGTTTAAAACACACACTGTTATTTACTCAACAATAAGTCACAGTTATCCTTGTTTATTTATGTTGCTGTGTTTTTTTTCCATTGGTCAATTTACAGTAATAAACCTTAGTTTTACAGTATAATGTATGGTTTTCGGATTCTGGCCGACAGCCAGAGCTACGGCACTTGAAATAGAATTCAGCCAAAACACGGCAGACAAGTCAGGCATGTTTGGAATGAGTCCACAACACTCCTGATTGGTTAATATAAACGTCATCGAAGAAACCTGCCAATGAGAACTGTCCGCGCCTGTCGTTCAAACATCCAAGTCAGTTTGAGCGGGTCTCCTCCTCTTTATGTCTGCTACAGGAGTTTATGGATTAATATCGGGATCGTTTTACATCTACACGTTAAATATGAGCATCGGGACGTCAACAAAGAACAGAAGACTTGAGATCTGGTGAGACCTGCAACTGTAATGGAGTTAAACATGTATTTAAATAATCCTTACTTAGTTTGTGAATGTTTTATTTTTTGTTTAAGGTTACGTTTCTTCTTCCAGTTAGCTGAGTTTCTTCCCGTTAAGTTGGTATGCATAATTAATAGGTTGTTAAATGTTAAGAAGCCCTGAGATGCTGTTTCTTGCAAGATGTTGCGCCCGGGAAACCCGGCTTAACATGCGGCTGCTAACGTTAGTTTACAGCTTATTGCAGTGCTGCCCCCCCCCCCCCCCCCCACCCTCTCGTTTCCAACACGGGAGAATTACACATAAACATGCAGTGGGGTGTCACAGTGTTGTCGCCAAGTTTAATGTAAAGTTTCACAGCTTTCTTACAGCGGAATCTAGTTTGTTAATGTTCAGTAGCCAACAGCTAGCATAGCATAAACAGCTAACCGCTAACGTTCGGCTAATTTGCTAGTTAGCTCTGCTCTATATATTACACGCTAACATGACTAGCTAATGTCACACTGTGAACTTAAATTACTTTTTGTATTACTACATCATACATGCTTGGTCCAAATCACTGCTACAATTAACTATTTTTAAAAATGTATAGTAAAGAAACACTCAGCCATGCATGAAATAACATAGCAAAAGAATACAGGTAATGTTTGACCCATGTTGTGCCTTAGAAGTGTAGTGATACAAACATGATTTTTATTCAAAAAGTAAGAAAGGTAAAAATAAAATTTAGAATTGGTGTTGATCCAAAACAGGTTAATTGAGGAATACCTGGAATCCTGAATGGTTCAAGTAATTTATTGCAAAGATATTTACAATTTAAAACTAATTCGGGTAACTTTTGACATGTGTTGGTTGTATGTTTTGTAACAAAGGGTTAACGTGACAGCTGTGATGTTCACTCTTTTGACAGAGCACCAGTGGACAGTGAGGACTATGGAAGAGAAGATGTGATGGCTTTGTGTGGAAAGCTGCTGATTATAACATCCATCATTATGGTTTACTAGTAGTTATCACTTCACTTCCTCCTCCAGCACCTGGACACAGCAGGAACCTACGCCAGGATCCTGTTTGTGGACTTCAGCTCTGCCTTCAACACAACCCTCTGGCTGGAGGCTGCGGTCCATCAGGACCAACACCTCTCTCCATCAGGACCAGAACCTCTCTCCATCAGGACCAACACCTCTCTCCATCAGGACCAACACCTCTTTCCATCAGGACAAGAACCTCTCTCCATCAGGACCAACACCTCTCTCCATCAGGACCAACACCTCTTTCCATCAGGACCAACACCTCTCTCCATCAGGACCAACACCTCTTTCCATCAGGACCAGAACCTCTCTCCATCAGGACCAACACCTCTCTCCATCAGGACCAACACCTCTCTCCATCAGGACCAACACCTCTCTCCATCAGGACCAACACCTCTCTCCATCAGGACCAACACCTCTCTCCATCAGGACCAACACTTCTCTCCATCAGGACCAGAACCTCTCTCCATCAGGACCAACACCTCTCTCCATCAGGACCAACACCTCTCTCCATCAGGACCAGAACCTCTCTCCATCAGGACCAGAACTTCTCTCCATCAGGACCAAAACCTCTCGCCACCTCAACAAGGCCCCCCCCCCCCCCACTGACACTTTACCTCAGCCACAACGCAGACTCTATGCATTACATAATGCAGATCACAGGATGGTAAATAATGCAATGTTTAAATATTGTTTACTGCACATATTTTATATTCTATAATTTATTGCATTCTATTTCGATGTAAGTTACTGCTTTATTTTATTTCTATCTTACTATATTTTTATTACAGTGTTCTTAATATAGTTCGCTATCTGTGTACTTTTTAAAAAAAAAATATTTGTATGTATGCACCCGACACCTAGTGAAATTCCTCGTACGTGTGAACCTACCTGGCAATAAACCCGTTTCTGATTCTGACCTGTTTGTCCTCTAGGTTGCACTGCCACGTCTACAGCAGCGCAGAATGGACCGAGGAAACATGATTGGGCCTCAAGTTTTTTGCAGCCAATATTCATTATCCTACAGACTTGGGATAGGAGGGTGAGTGAACAAGCTATCCATTGGTTGGAACCTACATCCCCAATGTTAGACGTACTAAATCCTGCACACTGCTCCTTCAAATGGACAATGTGAACATATGTCGCCATTTTGCAATTTCTGTTATTTTCAGTTGAGAATGTTTCAAAGTCATCTTAAAAAATTCAACTTACTTTTTGTTTCTACTGTTTATAAGTATGTTTAAATATGAAATGCTGTATTCATTAGTTGTACTATAATTCTACAAAGATTTTAAGTTTTCAGAGTAATTGTTTCCAACAGAACATTTTGTGATGTCATTTTGTTGAACCTGTTTGATTGGAAAATGTTAGAAAAAAGCTGTAAGATAACAGTATTCTAGCTAGAACTTTAGGTTCTGTATTTATGTTGGTGTTTGACAAATCAAAAAAAAAAATGTAAACTGTTTTTCTCATCAGAACTGTATTTAAGGTATTTTAATGTAACATTTTAAGACAACGAATTTTGAAAAGAGAGGAAAGTTTCCTCTAAAATGTTTAAGGACAATTTCTGTATACTAATTGCTTTTGCACTTTATTTCAGTTAATGTATTTTTACTTTAATTTTATGGTTTTTGTTTGGCAGCCGCTGCTGCCAGTCATTTGACCGTTTTTTTACGGGTTTTTTGCCCTTAGAAGTTTTAGTGCTGTACTTTTATTAAATGTTATTGACTGTAAAAAGAGAGGATAAATCTGTAAAATTACAGTGTTATCCTGTAAAATCTGTAAGGACAATTCCCGTAAATTAATGCCTTATTCACTTTATTTCAGTTAAAGTATTTTTACTTTAATTTAAAGGGCCCATTGCTTGCTTTTCCGGTTATTACCCGTCTCCTTGTGTGTTATGAAGGTGTCCATGCATGTAAACAGTCTGCAAAGTCAAAACCCCTCAAAGTACACCCTGTAGGGAGTAAAACTCTAACACAGAAAAGACCTCCCCCAAAAGCCTCGTTGGAGATTTCTCAGTTTCCATTGTTTACTTCCTGCCCCGCGTGACATAGCTGCACCGCGTGACGTCACTGCACCGCGTGACGTCACTTCCTCTGCCAGCCGACCATATTAAGTGTCGTAAAACCTGCATCTTTTCAAAGCTCTATCCAGTCATGTCGCGGAGGGTCTGTTGCCTGTCTTGTGTGGAGAAATCCACAATGTTTGCAGTACCGAAGGCAGAACCACGACGAAGTCAGTGGTTGACATTCCTTTTTAACACTGTTCCAGCAGATTTACCAGCCGGTACTGTTGTGTGTGCGCGGCATTTCACGGACCAAAGCTTTAAAAACTTAAGAATGTTTCGTTTCGGACTTGCAAAGCTGATATTGGAGGACGATGCTGTTCCTACTTTGTTTGGACCAGCGGGAGATTCAGGTACACAACCTGTAAGTATTCATTGTGGTTTGTGTATTTATTCTGTTTAAAACAAACAATGTATCTACCACGACTGTGTAAATGCTATGCTAATGCTATGCTACCGAGGTAAACACGAGGGCTAACGAGCATTCCCAGACCTCAACACCGATGTTAGCACATGGCCTTACATGTATCTCATAGCAGGAGAATGTCTGCAAATACACACGAAATACTCATAGACAGTATACTCCGGGTGATTTAACCGTACGGTCAGTAATTACAGTTGCCGTTCGTGTATTCTACCGAGCTACCATTAATAAGCTAAGCTAGAAGCTCTAACCTAGAGATGTTATGAAAAACATTGTTTTCATGCCAGCTACAATGAATGACCAAACGTAGCAGACTAACTGTATAATATTGCAATTGTAAGATGTTCTTGCTAAGCCTAGACTAGCTGTTAAACTGCATATTAGGTTAGCATATTAGCTGGCAAGCTAACTGTGTTGATTACTGATAGATAATCATAGCTGGAGAATTTCGTCTGCAAACACACACGAAATACTCATAGACAGTATACTCTGGCTGATTTAACGTACGGTCAGTCGCCAAACATAATTACATTGAAGTTGGCGGTCCTAGCAGCTATGCTACTGAGCTACAAAGAGTCTGAAATATTACGCTACATGGGAAAAGGTAGCAGACTATCTGTAGAACATTGTAATTGTAAAAGTGTTGCTTTTAAGAAATTGACTGTTTTCCTCGGATACAAAATTAATTGTATGAATACTATGTGTATCTTTCTTAGAGTACATCACAGCAGGAACACAATACCCACCGCTCCAGTACAGTCGGATGTCAAACAGACCGTCCACAGACTGTTTGTGTGGGAACTCAGAGGGTTGAGACACGGTCTGTGGGAACACAGACAGTGGAATGTAAAGTGTCCGCCATTTCTGTTGCTACACAGTTGGCCCGGGGAACACTGAAATCGGCACAGGTGAGAAGCAAAGGTAGACTATAACACTGACAAATCACAGATACATTACCTTAATTGTGCTTTTATTACATGTACAGCACTTGGGCTCGACCAAAAATCGTTTTTAAAATGTGCTCTATAAATAAAACCTTATTTGATATTATTGTATATCACAGAAATACTGTTATGTTGACTACAAGAAATACAGTGCCGTTTGTAGTTTGTACATTTTTCATGAATTAATCTGTCAGATGTACACAAGTTGTTGGCCTTTTACAATGTATTAGTGTCTTATCTAATGTACATAGTATTTATGCACTTTTCCCTTTTTATTAACAGGCATCCAGGCCATGGTGTCTTTCAAAAGTGTTGGCACTAAAACTTCCACCTACACAGAAATCCCCTTGTCCTCTACACCAATAAAGGGCCCAGGATTGGGACCCTCGCAAGAGACCTCGACTGGAGTTGGAGGAGGAACAAGCAGAGACGTCGACAGAATTTGAGGAGACTGGGTTTGAGTTACCACCCTGATGATACTGTAGAAGAATGCGACGTATCGTATCACTAATCCTAGGATAATGTGAGTACTCTTTAGAATGGGAATTTACAGTGATATGAATATGTATGGAGGTTTCCTGGCTATGAAATGTTTTCAGACAGAAGGGTGTCGCACTGACAGGCAATTATCATATGTATGTTATGGTTGATATATGAAGTGTGGAATTTCCACCACACCCTTGAATGTTGTCCATCACAGCACGTCATTTCCACACTATGGCTTGAATATTAACTTGTGCATGTGCTTTTTTTTAATCAGGTTTGTCCAAGAAACTTCTGAATCTTACACAGAACAAGGACTGTGACACGAAGTTGAAGAGGTGGCTGCGCAGCATAAAAAACCATGTCTACTGGAGTGCGACGAGCACAACCTCGGGGCCGGAGAAGGTGGCAAGGTGGACGTCACTGGTCAACCACCTACAAAACGTTCACGTGCATGATGACCCCCTGTTCCCCAAGTGCACACATCCTGTAGGAGCCGCAAGCGATGCAAATAAACCTTACCTAAAAGGTGGTAAGTTCAATATTTCACTTCTTTCATAAGATCAACAATATAGAATGTAAATATAACATTGTTGTTATGGCAAATTATTGTTGTAATGTTCTAATGTGCTGGTGATTTACCTAATGTCTTTGTCATTTTACTCAAGGCTCAATAACACTCGCCAGAGTTACAAAAAGTGAATAACAATAACAAATTATTTATACAATGCTTTCTTTTTCAGTCTATGTGGATGAGCTGACGAGGCTTGTGTTTCACAAAGTCTTTCTGGACCCTACACCCTTTGTGGACGAGCTGAAACGAATCCACGTCCCAGAGGACCTGTCAACTCAATTTGACAGGCCCCCCAAGGAGGAAATGATTGTCAGCCGTTTCTCCCGTTTCCCCCCAAAGGAGGTCGAAATCCTACATATTGTCCAGCCAGATCTGGAAACTCCTGGCGGATCCGGAGCACAACACACGACGGAATCACCACTCTGATACCTCGCCCTAAATATCCCCAGCACCAGCTTACAAAGCTGCGATACGCAAGATATCGAAAACGCCTATCAGGAGAGGAATGGATGATGTACAGTGTATAAATATACATTCACACATTTTGTACATTTGTAAAAATAAAGTTTGATGGAAATACTTAGTAGCCTTTCTTTCCTGAATTATTTGCTCCTATAACATATCATTCATATATAGCAAACCATGATTTGATTTTTCATCAAACGGTAGTAGTTTATTACAGGTAACAATAACTTACTCTTCTTCCGTTGTATTTGTCAAAGGTCCGAAACTGTATTTATAAATATTGTGGAGATTCTGCAGGGTGTATGGGTTCAAGCAGTTAGGCTCTAGTCCTGGGTGGTCAACCATGCATTTAATGGGTTCTGGAACTTGCAGCATGCGTGTTACAACCTATGAAGGTAAGATGTGTTACAAAACACGTTTAGCAATTAAACCAACTATGGGAAAGGTTTACAAAATAAACATTCAATTACTAAGGAAGTAATAAAAGTGCATATAGTCTATTGACTTGAAAAATATGTATGCTGTATATCTTGGTATATGTGTGCTACTGTTGGTGTTTTCAGCTAGCTGCCGACATAATGTAACTAAGCTAGGCTACCTTTCTTATGCTATTGCAGCACACGTTTTCTCCGTCACTTGGCATCAAAGCGCAGTTTCCACAACGGCACCTAAATAACAACAGTTGTAGGTACATCTGATGACATCTGAAATGTAAGACATATACTAGATACAATCGTACCACAATGACACTGTTTGGTCTGCTCTAGTGAACGGCGAGGCAAGACTCGCGATTAGGTCTATTCTAGGATCGAACGGAGGTTCGAAATTGTATGCTCCATACGCCATTATATGCTATATGTAAGCTATCTATTTATCTATATAACTCTATCTATCGATTCTCAAATCTAGTATTGCTATGTTGCTAAGTACCCGCTAAACCACTTTACGGCAGATGTCAACAGGGGCAGAGCCTCTCTGGTGGTTGACTAATCAGAACAGAGTGGCAGAGCTGACCAATCGGAGCACACTGGACGCACAGGAGGGTGGGGGCAGGAACTCCATCGAGCCGTTTAGCACAGGGAGTGAAAACTCATACTATACAGAAATAATGTATGAGAAACCAATCTGAGTTTGGAAAATTGCACAGTATTTTTCTATTGTAATATCCCTCAACAATGGTATTATGATCAGTAGAAAGGACCATGCAATGGGCCCTTTAAGGGTTTTTGTACTTTGACTGTTTTTTTACGAGTTTTTTTTTTACAGTGTAGTGTTGGTCCACAGTGCAAACATATTAGTTTAACAAAATCCGCATCTAAAGATACGTTATTTTCCCCTGTGCAATTCCAGTCTCAATTAGATCAAATATAAAAGTCCGCCGAATTAGTGTTGATACTGCAAGGAGATGTATTGTGTGAAAAGAAATGTAAGATGTTGTTTAATTACTGATATATTTATGATCCACGTCACGTTTCCAGTGTTGGCGGCAGTTCCTCATGTTTGTCTAGAAGTCTTCTCAGCAGGGCTCTATAAATAGAGAACTACGGCAGATATGTAATATTTAATGCAGCCGAACCGTGTATTACAATGCCGTTATGTGATGACCTCCAAAGAGAAAAGCAAGCACACTCGGAATAAAGTATTTACATTTTTTTAAATGTTTTCGGTCTGTTTCCGGTAATTTGTTAATGAATGTGCTGTGAGATGTGAGACTGGAATTGCACAGGGGAAAATAACGTATCTTTAGATGCGGATTTTGTTAAACTAATAAACTGGGGATTCTGGCTAGTGTAGTGTCTTCTGCCATCCTTTACTCCGGCAAAATAGTTGTTTCTCAGAATCGAAGGGGAAAAATACAAAAGCATTGCACACAATTTAAACCAATCAATGTTGTGTAATTAACAAGGATAATCTGGTGTTTTTTAGTCGATGAGTAGTGCAGATATCACTGTAAAATCAATTGACAGTAAGAGGAATACTTACTTCCGGGTGTACAATTCTCCGTTATCCAATGAGAATGGACGCTCACATTGCCTTTAAGGGCAGCCGACACAAACGAATGCCGTGCTTCCATGAGCGTCAAATCCCGCCACAGATGGGAATACATTGCAATCAGTTGAAAGCTATTTACGTCCCTTTATGAAGCTGAAGGAGCCTAGGAGCGTCACAACTGCACGCCACGGACACTGACCAAACGTCGCTCTTGGACAATTATGGAGTGAGAGTGTGTTGTTCATAGAGTCTCAACAATTTGTCAAATGATTGATACTATAAGACACCAGTTATATTGATTAATAACACTCCATTCAAAAGCTTAAAAACGGTTTCTTTGGCAATTAAATGTTGATAAAGACTTCAACGCTATGCAAAGGAAAAGCAATCTCCCTTTAATCAGAAGTACTAACACATTATACGGTAATGTAGAAGCGCCGGCGAAGCGTAAGGAGAATATGTTAGGACTTGTGCACACATAATTTGTTTTGATCAGGGTTGAAATAGAGAGACGGGCAATGTTCACAAAAACAACAGTACGCCTGAGTGAAGGCACTTCTCTTGGATGATATGTGGAAGTGTGTGTTTGGTGAGGAACAGCGTTAGTATTATCAGTCTTTCTGTTATTTAGTCCACACTGGTGCCCTCCACCTCCATCAGCTTTAAGGATGTTTGCACGCGCCACTTTGATGTGCATGTCGGCAGCGTTTTATCACAGAGAGAGCTTCTGGTCTGAATTCCCTTGAAGAAACATTACAATATGAATGAGATCTATTGCACGGCAACAATATGAGCTTGATTACCCCGCCTGATGATCAGAACAACGTGAACGCAGTGAGCGTCGGGATTTCAAAGTTCCCTAACAACGATTTAGAGCCGCCTAAGGAAAGAACCGCGTTGACCCAACCTCTGCGAGTGAAACAGGAGCATGCAATCGAGCCCAGATGTTAGCACCACAACAACAAGTCTCTGGGGGGGGGGGGGGGTTTGTTTTGCATGCTATTGTTGCACAGCATTCATATTCAGGAGATGCTTGGCAGACTCTGAGCAAGCTAGATGGCCCTAAAACCCCATTACGCACAGTGAAAACATGACTTGTGTGTTCCCGAGATGCAATATTCTGTGCAGCTTGTTGCTATGGTTTTCTGTGAATGTGGTGCCTGTGTTTCTACTTTGCAAACTGTATTAATATCAGTCATTATTTGGAGTAAGGTCCAACAACATGATGCCATTTCACTCTTGGCTTAAGCATGTTTTTATTTTATTAGAAGAAGGAACATTTGATCTGCCTGCAAACCCAGAGCTGAGATAATCACACGATGCTGAACATGTCTGTGGTAGCTTTTCCAGTTTTAAACAAATTGTGCATGGATGAAGTGCCTGCAGTGGTAGGCGTGTGTTGTCCAGCTGATAACCAGTTAGCTTCAACTTCTGCTGTTCTTGCTGTGTTTATTAGAGACTCAAACTGCATTGAATACATACAGTAAGAAATGTTGATTATCTGTCAGGTAAGAAGCCAATAACAATTAGTGATATAGATGAATGGCAGACCAGAAAATATAATATATAAACCAGGGATTTGTATGTAATCAGGATATTCAGTGTTAAGTTCAGCATCATACACCAACTCGTAATATGTGCATATGTTAATTGATTATATACAGGCTTGGGGATTACATGTAATTATGTAATCAGGAAACAAATAAGGGTAACTGTACTCCTTTACAGTTACATAAAAACTACTGTTACAGTACATTTTAAAATACAGATCAATATATTATAGGAACGCGTACTGCCCAAATATGGTTTTCATTTAGGCTACTTTCATTCTTCTTTTATCTAATATATATAAAACAAAAATACTATATTTCTAAGGTTGCATTGTTCCGTTGTCTTACATAAAACACGTATTTTTTTGCATTGCTATGATATTAAGGTAATCCGAAAGCAACGAAAAGTAATCATACTTATATTTTTGTTTGAGTATCAAGTAATTTTAACGGAATAAATGTCATAACCCTTATTTTATTTTTAACTGTTAGCTCTATTCCACTTTTTAAGTATTTGTATTTTAATGTTGAACACACTGGTCCTGTAACAAAATCATTTCCCAATTAGGGATTAATACTGGACATAAAATACAGTTTTCAATATGTATATATGTTCATTTGAATTAATTTCTTATTTTATAGTTATTTTATCCTTAATTGTGTTAATCTGTGCTGTCCTGTTTTTCATTCTTACCCTGTTGCTGTTAAACTACTGAATGTCCCATTTAATAAAAGGTCTATCTTATCTTAATAACGTATATATCTATCTATAGAACCCTGATTATCAGTGATCCAGATTTCATGCAGAGCTTTTTGGGAATATTCGACTGCTGGCAAACTCCAAGTCGGTGTGTATTTAGCACCTTTGTCTACACATGCCTTGGGTTTTTATTTAGCCGCAGCTGGTCAACGCCAACTCCTCTCCATCAGCCCACTTCTAACGTCCTCCTGGGCTGAGGCACTTAGCAACATGTTCTCACTGCCAGCAAATATAACAAGCAGGAGACTTCAAATACATTCTCTGCAGGAAATGTCAAAAAATAACACAATGTTCTGAAAAGAGCAGAACATTGCCCTCAAAGGTTTGATCATTTTACACTCTTTGAATTA